GTGTGTGTGTGTGTGTGTATATATATATATATACACACACACACACACACTCACACGTGTGTGTGTGTGTGTGTGTGTGTGTGTGTATCCTTTTTTCAGATTCTTTTCCATTATAGCTTATTATAGGACACTGACTATAGTTGCCTGTGCTATATAGTAGGTCCTTGTTATTGATCTGTTTTATACATAGTAGTGTGTATATGTTAATCTTAAACTCCTAATTTATTCCCCCCACCTCCAAATCTTCCAGATAATGGTCTTAAATCTTTATCCTTTAACCTCTTCATTATCTCTTGATTGTCAATTCAGTTTTCGCTTCTTTAAAAAGGATTTTAGGCCACTTAACACAATTGATAACTTGGGGAGGAAGGACGTGAGGAGGTGAGAGGGGTGGGAGAAGGGGGGCCAGGATGGGTGCCTGGGGTGAGAAAGTGGTTGCTGAAGCTGAGAAATGATGAAGACTGTGGTTCTCCAGCTCTCCTTCTAGCTGGTAGATGTTTTGCTGTCCAGTTGAATAGTGATATATTTTTTCCCCCTAAACTTCAGAAAAATTCAGAAATAGCCATCCATGCCTGCTTCAACAGTTTTTTTTTTTTTAAATTATATGTACTCATCCTGTTTTTATGTTGCATTTCCCAGTATAACTTCATTATTGATATGACTTTTTTGGCTAATAAAGTTGTTCCTAGTTGGTTTCTTGTTGAGACCCTGATGGTGTCTCAGAAAGCACCCCATGAGAGTCAGGAGCCCCTGCCATGATGAGGTTTGGGGACCAGGGTGTTGGGACTATATGAGGAAACCCTCTGTAGCCTTTGGAGCTTTTCTTCTGTATTGTCACAGTCATGGAAATTTTAATATTCTTTTCCATAACTTAAAAGTTGATAAATCAATAAGTAAATGATCTTCATCTAGGTGAAAACAGCGTTTAGGTATATAAAAAAAAATTCCATTTGCCCTTTAATGCTATGGTGAATGAACCTGTAAGTGGCCACTAACCTCCTCTTTTATTTTTCTTAAACCTTACAAGTTTATTGAATTGTATTCTTGGTTTGTAAAAAATATTCCTGACCAGAAAGATCAGTCAGTGGAGAGGAGTCCAGATAATGAACAAATGGGAGACTTCAAAATATGTATGAGACACAGAAATGTAAGCCCCTCGTGCAAAAGATAATGGGAAGAGTTCAAAAGTCTGCTAGCACTTTTATTTCATTCTGTACTTTACAGCGCCTGTTAGGCTATCTAATGAATAATATTAAATAACGGTATGAGCAATATAGAAGCCTTTGCAGGGAGCAGAGTGGCTTTACCAATCTTGATTTTATCCTGTTGATACCTACAGTTCTATAATCAATAATTATAAGAACTAGGGTAAAATTTGGATCTTCAGGTAAAAGTGATTTATACTCGCTGGTATAAAACTTTTAAAATATGTATTCATTTTTCTAATCAAGTATTCTCTATTCATATCTGGAGAACTGTCATTACTCTCCTTGGAATAAGTATTGTCTTTCAGTGGCGAGAGTAGTGTATGTGGGGCCAAGGGGGTTATTAACAAAATCAGCCGCTTGCTTCAGCTGGATTTAAAGGGACCAAATAGCTACTTGCCGATGTTAGACCGTGGATGGTCTAATAGGAGCCTCTTCTGATTCCTAAATTGAACATTATATGATTTTGTTAAGGCGCCTTTCAGAGCAAATGCTGGAAGTAACTTCAGCCTCATATATTTGTCCCTTTTAAGTTCAGGCCTTGATTTTAACCTCTTTATATATACTGCATGAAAGACCATCTTATATACTCAAGAAGGTTAGTGCAATTTCAATTACAGGCCATAGGGGCCTCAGTTTCCCCTTGTCTCAGTAGGGATACTAGTAACTGCCCTGCCTAACTCACAGTCTTTTTTTTTTTTTTAATAGAAAGTTTAGAAAACAATGGGGAGAATAGTGACATGAAATCTCAAGTGCCCAGCTCCCAGCTTCCACAATTATCAAAATGTGACCAATCTTATTTGACCCCTACCCCACCTACCCTTACTACGCTCCTGTGGACCATTTTAAAGAAAAACCCAGTCATCTTTTCATTTGATCCACAAATCCTTCCATATCTATTTCTAAAAGATACGTTTAAACTTAACCACTACAGCATTACCAGTAAAAAAGGTAATAGTAATTCTTCAATATCATCAAATTTCCAGTTAATGTTTAGATTTCCACATGGTTGTTTTGAAAGACAAAGCAGTTATACTGAGAATTACTTGTGAAAGTTGGAAAGTGTTATTAACATCAAGTGGCCATATTTGGTACGCTGAACAATGGTAGCTGATGTCCTGTTAAGTTATTTGTTGTCATGTTAGTTTGTACGGTATTATCAAAGAGGGGCAGGCAGTGTGGAGTGGGAGAGTGCAGTGAGGAAAGTAGAATCTCGGATTCTAATCCTAAGATCCATTAACGGCTGGCCGTGTGACTTTGGACACGTTACTTAACATCTTTGGTCTTCTATTTCCCTTTTGGTAAAGTGGAGCTAATTAAAAAACTCCTTGTGGGATAATGATAAACATTAAATTAGATGACATATGTACAATACCTGGGTTTACATAGTTGATGCTTAATAGATTATAACTATCATGTGGTTATAGCACAATAATAGTAATAGAGAAATTTGCCCTTAATGAGCATTACTTTGTGCCTAACGTTGTGCTAAAGGACTGATTTTTTTTTTTTTTTTTTTTTTGCGGTACGCGGGCCTCTCACCGCTGTGGCCTCTCCCGTTGCGGAGCACAGGCTCCGGACGCGCAGGCTCAGCAGCCATGGCTCACGGGCCCAGCCGCTCCGCGGCATGTGGGATCCTCCCAGACCGGGTCATGAACCCACGTCCCCTGCATCGGCAGGCGGGCTCTCAGCCACTGTGCCACCAGGGAAGCCCAAGGACTGATTTTTATATTATTTAATGTTTATGACATCCTCTGTTCATAAGAAGTGATTGTCCTCATCCTCGTTTTATAGATACTGGAAAGTTGAGATCACAATGGCTTACTAATTAAAGCGAGGATTGCACTCAAGCCTGGGTGGCCCTGGAGACCAAGCTCTTAACAACCCCTGCGTATTCCTCCATGTGGTGTTTGTGGTCATAGCGTATTTGGTTTGAGAGCTTCTAAGTATATTTCACTCTGTCCATGTAGACATGTAATTCCTAGTTGATATTTACATGTTGAATTCCCTATGTTTGCAGGAAACGCTGCAGAAATATAGTTACCTCTATGATCTGTCTCGATCAGAAAAAGGGAAAGTTCAGGATCAAGCCGTGGCCATGTGTTTAGACGGTCAGCCTCTAAGAATGATTCAACAGCTGCTAGAGGTGGCCGTTGGCCCTCTTGACATCTCACCTAAGGATATAGTACACGGTGCAATAACGAAAATCATCTCTGCGTTGAGGTAAGCTATAAAACAGTCATTGAGGAGAACCTGAGCTGATACTTTGCCAGTAATGTGCTTGTTTCACGGTTGTTAGAAAGGTAAAATACTATCATGTATGTAGGAGCATTTTATAAAGTATGATGTACTTCATAAAAAGTGAGAGATTATGATTAGACTTCTCAGTCTCATGTCTTAAAATATCTTGTGAATGGAGAACCATGGCAGTGTTCTGTCATTGGTCCTGTGTGTAACATGTCAAGAAGCTAGCTAACTTCTGGGTAGACCCTCTCTCACACCCAGATAATTCTTGAAATAAGGGAAAGGCCAAAATGGCATGTGAAGCAGGTCGCTAAGTGTCAGACTGTCATGTGACTTCAGCATGGATTTTTCAGAGTTTGTCTCTTCTAATTCCCCTTCTTTGTAGCAGTGGGAAACCAGTTCCCAGAAGTTTGTTTTGAAGTACACAAGGCAAGGTTATTCATATGCTGAAGAAGTTGGACATGTGTTAAGTATCTTAGGACATTATTTACCTGCAATTAATGGCATAAAACTGACAATTGAGAAATTCTAGCTTTCTGTCGATAGGCTGGTACCTTTGTAGGAATACATCCAAGGGGATTAGGAAAAAGGGAAAGTTGAGCTTAGAAAATAGTGAGGCATCAAGTGCTTTCTGTGAATAATGCAATTAGCCTAAGAGATTTAGTTGTGTTTAAATTATTCTTCTTTTAAGCATTCTTTGTAATTCTGTGTTGCTCTTGAGGAACTTTTTGATTAAATGCGTGTCAGTTTTCAGCAGCTGAACTGAAATCAAATGAGGCTTCATCAGTTTAATTACCCAGCTTCATCCGGTTTTCACCTTAATGCTCTGAGGTATCTGGTAATTTTATATACAGGGAGAGAAATGAAATAGTGTAACACTTTTTAGAAATCGCAAATATGAAATGAATAAAGCTTTATTCTATTACGAGCTTATGTTTTGGTGGTGGTTGTGATTATAAGAGCCACTTTCCTCTTTCAAATGATGACAGATAATTGTTTACCATGTTTTATACCTTTTTGATTCAGTTATCTTTTATTATTTCTTAAATCAAGGCTTAGATGAAGCTCACAAAAATAAAAATTTGAAAAATTACTGCCTTGAATATAATTTAGTTTATTTTTCAAAAATTGTACATTTTCATATAATTAAAATATGATATATTTTTATGTTTATAAAATTCTGACATAAATTATACTCCTTTCTTTTTCCCTGTGCCCAGTTCTACTACTGAAGATTTTGTTCTGATCTAATAAATGTTAGACTTAGTGTACAGGAGACATTCAATAAAAATGAGTTAAATCTTTCAGTAGTGGGGGGAAGGGGAACTTCAGTTCACCTACCTCTTTTTCAAAGGAAAACAAATTGCTATTGACTATGTCTATAACATTTACGTTTTAGAAAGTTAGTGAAATTTAGTAGGCATAAAATGACAAAGGGATGAACATACAGCAGCAGTTGGTTTAAATCATCTAACAAACTATTCAAAAACTCATCTAAAACTTCTCTTTCCTCTGTTACATTTTCAGAATTCAGTAGAGTTCCAGACATACGCATTTGTAGAATGGGCATAATAGGGCCTGTCTCACGGGCTGTTGAGATTATTAACTGTCAGGGTGTATGTGAAGCACTTAGCAGTGCCTGCTACCTAGTAAGTACCATGTAAACATTAGTGTTTTGAAAAAAAGGCCAGCTAGAGAATTTAGATTATTATATACTTAATGCTTAAAATAGCTCTTATTTTTAATGCCCATTGAGTATATCTTTGAATTTTTGGATGACAGAAGGCAAGTAGATTTTCTTACTCTGTCTTTTTCCTTCTTTTTTTCCCCTTTTCCTCTACTCTCTTGGTAGGAAAACAAGCCTGTATTAGACTGTGAGCTCTTTAAGGGCAGAGGTTTCATCTCCACATCCTTAGCACACAGTATAGGGCTTGGTACCCTTGTGGGCTGCATATACCACGAACGGCTATGAGCTGGCGGTATATGCTGTGCCGAGATCCAGCTGGATTCATCCGAGTGTAAATGTCCACTTGTTTCTGAGGCTTGAGCCATCCTGTTCTGATTCCGTTCCTCTCTCTGTCTCTCCCTTCGCAGCGGAGGCAGTGCTGACCTCGGGGGGCCGGCGGACCCTCTCCGCGTCCTGGAAGGGGTTGTTGCAGCCGTCCACGCCAGTGTCGACAAAGGGTAAGGCTGGAGCAGTTTGTGGGTCTCACTGAATGGCGTTCCTCGGAGTCCTAGGATTACTTTTAATATCCATGTTTATGAAGCTTCTGTGACTAAGCATCTTTTCTAGGCGGTTCTGAAGGAAGAGCTGAGGAATTTCTGGAGATGCGTTTTCCCAGCTGTACTCTTAGCCCATCAGCTCCAACAGGACCCTCTCCTTCTCTCCTGGGCCTTGCTGGCCTCAGAGAGTGTGGTCTCTTCCCACCTCCTTCTGAGGGTGGCCAGGGAGAGGAACCTGCTCTGCTTCTTAGGAGAGCAGGGGTTTACATCTTCAGGAGGTTAACTGTACTGATTAAGTATGGAAACTCCTAGAGTGTATATGTTATTTTTGAAAACCTTTATATATGTTAAATCTGTGCTGTCTGAGGACTGAGAGTGTAGAGGCTTTATAAGTCTAGGAATGTGTGTGTCTCCAAACCATCTTAAGAAAGAATCTTTCATTCAGGTGCACTGGTAGCAGTAGTAGGAATAACAACAACAGCAGAATGACAGTTATGTATTTCCCAGAGTTGACGAAGATCTTTCCTATGTCTGATATCCATGGCAACCCTGTAAGGCCTCACCCCAATTTTCTTTGATACAATAATAATGAAGTGTATTTGAGAAACCCCCTAATAGTTCATTCAGTAATATTGTTTTTATTTGCATATTGCCTTCCAGTTATTGTTCAGGTACAGATACATCTTTACACGATTTCGATCAAAATGTATGAACACTTCTCTCTTCTGTTTTAGTTACTTGCTATTGGAACTCTTTCCATTGATCTTTGTAGATTTAGTGGTTATGATTTTTGACGCCTGCATATGTGGTTGCCATTCTCAGATGAGGAGAGAAAGTCTGGGAGAGAGGAGTTGACTTGCCCAGAGTCAGAGGCCTAGGAAATAGAGCCAGGAGTCCAGTCTGTCCCTGCGTCATAATTTAGGGCTCAGATACCTTTATAGAATGTCTCCACGCATCGCTTTGGGCCCGCGGTTTGAGTGAAAGAACATAGGATAAGCCATATGGCTGGGTCTGGCAAACATGGCCAGCAGGGCCCTCGACTTACTGTGCCTTTTACTTTGCACGTTTTCTCTAAACTCCCTCGCTTGTGGGTCTTTAAATGGTAAGGAAGCCACAGCTGTGGCTAACATGGGCTTCTTCTTCTAAAAAGAAATGTCACTGTTCTGCACGTTTAGTGTGTGTCATGTTCCGTGCTCAGTCATGAACAGTTAGTTCTGGGTAGGAGGAGCTCAGAGTCTTACAGGGGAGACCAGCTTGCCTGGGGCTCCCAGTTACCACGCAACAGAGTGGTCAGCGCTGTGCAGAAAGCAAGGTGGAGGGAGTGGCTTATTCTGCCCGGGGAAGTTAGGGCACGATCCACACGGGGCGGCATTGGAGCTGGTCTGTGACATCTGAGTCTGCGAGAAGGAGGAGGTGTGGTCCAGGCAGGGACACTGCTTCAACAGGGCAGGTGCAGCAGATAGCAGGATGGGCAGAGATGCTGCGTGGGAAACCCTCAGGCACTCTCTAGAGGGTCCATTGAGCGGCTGCTGTTCCAGTCACAGCCCATCAGTCAGTTCTCAGCTCACTGCTCCCCTGTGAGCTGTCGCACAGTGGCTGTCAGGTACCCGGACCCGGACCCAGGCCTCACGTGATGAGAGGGATCTCCACAGGCACTGCTTTAAGCCCCTTCCAGTGGGGTCTCTCAGTCTCGTCCCACTGGGAACATCTCAAAAAATTAGAAGGCAGTGTTTTTCTTAGTGAATTTCCAGCCAGATATACAGAAGAATCCAACTTGGGTCACTTGAATACAGCCTTTTTTTAAACTTCAATTTCCAAAGAGGAAGACATTGGGGAATGGAGAATCAGAACAAGATCTTACTTTTCATCCCAGAGACACAGAATAACAAAGGCTCCCTAACAACAAAAAAAAACTTAAGTGAACTTTTTTTTTTTCCGCTTAAAAAAGAAAAAGAGGAAGACAGACAAAGTCATAACTTTTATTCCTGGCAAGTGTTCTGTGAATGTGGACAGTTAAACCTGACACCCTTGGCTTCAGTTCTCCTCCCTGAGAGCGTGTCCACCAGAGTCACAGGGGGGAGTCGCTCTGTCTTTTCTAGGTAGTTCCCGGGGAGCGGGGTCTTCAGAGTGACATGGGGATTTAAACTCTTTTAAAGTAATGCTCCAGGACTGGCAGATACAAACTATTATATGTAAAATAGGTAAACAATAAGGTCCTACTGTGTATAGCACAGGGAACTATATTCAATACCCTGTGATAAATCATAATGAAAAAGAATCTGAAAAACAACATATGACTGTATGTATAACTGAATCATTTTTCTGTACACCTGAAACTAACACAACATTGTAAATCAACTGTACTTCAATTAAAAAAATCAAATAAATAAAGATAGAGTAATGCTCTTGGGTCACTTGCTTGTTACTTGGTCTGACATGACTGACTAACCCTCTAGGAGGCCACGCCAGGCGTGTATGCCCCTAACCCTCCCTCAGTCCCAGCCCTGTAATGTGAACACGCATTGCCCACTATGGCATCTGTTTAAACGGCAAATCATCTCTCTTCATATACATTGTCAGCTGTCACAAACACACATGCGCGCGCGCGCGCGCACACACACACACACACACACACACACACATATATGCATGTGCTCTTAGGTGAGGCATACACCATCCCATAATATTCCTGGCAGAGAGATTGAAAAGTCAGAATTATGGTGTGTGTATTAATGGGTACCACCAAGAGTTCAGTCTTGTGTTTAATTTTTAGACAGTTTATGCCTTCATCAGCATGTCCTCCTTTGACTTTTTATATTGGTACAGATATCATCTACCTTTTAACTGCAGCTCCCGCCTCTCCCGTGAAGCCCCCTTTCCCTCTTCTTCTACCTGTGCTAAGGGTAAACGACGTAAAACCACAGCACCCAGGCAGGTACCAGTGGAGCCAGCAGCCACCTGTCCAGGCAGACGTCCTTTTAAGTTTAGCCACATTCTTGCTTCTAGATATCAGGGTTAAGTCTTCTAGGGATTTGAAATAGTGTCAAAAACCTTTTTTTTTTAATATATATCTTTATGGAGTATAATTGCTTTACAATGTTGTCTTACTTTATGCTGTATAACAAAGTGAATCAGCTATACATAAACATATATCCCCATATCCCCTCCCTCTTGTGTCCCCCTCCCACCACTCTAGGTGGTCACAAAGCACCGAGCTGATCTCCCTGTGCTATGCAGCTGCTTCCCGCTAGCTAGCTATTCTACATTTGGTAGTGTATATATGTCCATGCCACTCTCTCACTTTGTCCCAGCTTACCCTTCCCCCTCCCCGTGTCCTCAAGTCCATTCTCTACATCTGCATCTTTATTCCTGTCCTGCCCCTAGGTCCATCAGAACCTTTTTTTTTTTAGATTCCATATATATGCATTAGCATACAGTATTTTTCTTTTTCTGACTTACTTCACTCTGTATGACAGACTCTAGGTCCCTCCACCTCACTACAAATAACTCAATTTCGTTTCTTTTTATGGCTGAGTAATATTCCATTGTATATATGTGCCACATCTTCTTTATCCATTCATCTGTCGATGGACACTTAGATTGCTTCCATGTCCTGGTTATTGTAAATACTGCTGCAATGAACATTGTGGTACATGACTCTTCTTGAATTATGGTTTTCTCAGGGTATATGCCCAGTAGTGGGATTGCTGGGTCAAATGGTAGTTCTATTTTTAGTTTTTCAAGGAACCTCCATACTGTTCTCCATAGTAGCTGTATCAATTTACATTCCCACCAACAGTGCAGGAGGGTTCCCTTTTCTCCATACCCTCTCCAGCATTTGTTGTTTGTAGATTTTTTGATGATGCCCGTTCTAACGTGTATGAGGTGATACCTCACTGCAGTTTTGCTTTGCATTTCTCTAATATTTAGTGATGATGAGCAGCTTTTCATGTGCCTCTTGGCCATCTGTATGTCTTCTTTAGAGAAATGTCTGTTTAGGTCTTCTGCCCATTTCTGGATTGGGTTGTTTGTTTTTTTGATATTGAGCTACATGAGCTGCTTTTATATTTTGGAGATCAATCCTTTGTCAGCTGCTTCATTTGCAAATATTTTCTCCCAATCTGAGGGTTGTCTTTTCGTTATGTTTATGGTTTCCTTTGCTGTGAAAAGCTTTTAAGTTTCACTGGGTCCCATTTGTTTTTATTTTTATTTCCATTTCTCTAGGAGGTGGGTCAAAAAGAATCTTGCTGTGGTTTATGTCATAGAGTGTTCTGCCTATGTTTTCCTCTGAGAGTTTTATAGTGTCTGGCCTTACATTTAGGTCTTTAATCCATTTTGAGTTTATTTTTGTGTATGGTGTTAGGGAATGTTCTAATTTTATTCTTTTACATGTAGCTGTCCTGTTTTCCAGCAGCACTTATTGAAGAGGCTATCTTTTCTCCATTGTATATTCTTGCCTCCTTTATCAAAGATAGGGTGACCATAGGTGTGTGGGTTTATCTCTGGACTTTCTATCCTGTTCCATTGATCTATAATTCTGTTTTTGTGTCAGTGCCATACTGTCTTGATTACTGTAGCCTTGTAGTATAGTCTGAAGTCAGGGAGCCCGATTCCTCCAGCTCTGTTTTTCTTTCTCAAGATTGCTTTGGCTATTTGGGGTCTTTTGTGTTTCCATACAAATTGTGAAGTTGTTTTGTTCTAGTTCTGTGAAAAAAGCCATTGGTACTTTGATAGGGATTGCATTGAATCTGTTGATTGCTTTGGGTAGTATAATCATTTTCACAGTGTTGATTCTTCCAGTCCAAGAACATGGTATATCTCTCCATCTATTTGTATCATCTTTAATTTCTTTCATCAGTGTCTTATAGTTTTCTGCATACAGGTCTTTTGTCTCCTTAGGTAGGTTTATTACTAGACATTTTATTCTTTTTGTTGCAATGATAAATGAGAGTGTTTCCTTA